GAGAGAGAGGAGAATTAAGAGAAAAATAAAACAGGACCGAGAAAACAAAGGGCCCTCGCCAGCTCCTTTTTGTTGCCGTAGGTAGCAAAGCGTGAAAAAACGAAGTGTTCCGGTTGGAACCGGAAGTGCAGGGCAGACACTAATCAGAGGCTCGTTGTTCTTGTTCCAGGGGAGCATCCAGCTGCAATGCAGCACGGGAACACGGCAGCAGGCTCGCCAACATCGAAGACGGTCCTCGTAATGCTCGCCTTCTTTTTGGGTCAATTGAGATAATGTGTGTTCTCGTACGTGTCCGTGAGTGTGTCTCCTACCTGTATGTGTATACTATGCCACGTACGTGTACCTGTGTGCATGCCTGCGCGTGTGACCGTGTGTACGTGCGAAGAAACGCGTGAGGAATGAATGTCGACGCGAGCATTTAAGTGAAACTCGATGGATCGTTGGACACAATAAAGACGTAGCCAACCCCTCTTCGAACCCTGTTTGTACCTCGATCGAAATTCGATTGCCGACCGAGCATGCAGTCGGAACGATCATCGATGAGGAGGCTTTCTTGCGACAAGTAATGGACGTTTTAGGAGAGAAGCTGATCGGTGAGAAAGTTTTACGTTATTTCATCTCCTACAGCTCTTTGCTTTTGGGATAATCGTCGGTGATTGTTGCTTCCTTTCATCGAACATTCCACCGAACCTGGGTCGTCCCCCGGTTCGTGGCTGGTAAAGCTGGTAAAGATCAAGTGTCGATTCAAGTTCACTCGATTGCTATCGAGTGTACCGTTCAATATCGACTTTTCCCCTTTTCTCTTTTTTTATTCCACGTTATAAACGCGGTAAATATAAATCAGGTGATTTATCGTTGATTATTTGATATTTCTGACGAGATAATCTTGGGTAGTTATTAATGTTTGCATTCGATGCGCGAGTTCCGATCCCGATCGGAGTATCCTTGGAACGATTAATGTTATTTTAATATTGGCACGATTAAATCCTAATTGCGCGTTTAAGTATCGTGTGGATAACGATTATTAAAGGTAATCAGGATTCTTGGTAATTGTTTTCGATTGCAAGTCGAGTATGCAGATCAGACGTTTCGTTGAAAGTATTAGATAATGGATGACGAGATATTTCTGTCTTCCCATTTTTATGTCCCATAAACGAGATTACTTTTTGGAAATATTTGAGAATTTTCCTGAAATTTTCCAGTCAGACGAAAATATATTTTTCATTTAAGGTACTTGGTTATTTTCATCTGTAATTTTTTAGAAGAATTTTACGAAGAGAATGCCTTAAAATAATTGACTTGAACACTAATACAAATACTTGTTTACCCACACAACTAGACAAGTTATCATAAAGATAACTAATTGTTTTACCATAATGTTGGTAAGTTGTATAATAAATAATTATTGTTTATAACTCGTTTCTATGTCTATACAAATGAATACCAGAAAAATCTTAGTCATAGTGAATTGATAATATTAAATAGGTTCGGGGTTCCGTGTTTAAACGAATAAAATACCACTGTGGAATTATTACAGGTATTCTAGTAAAAAGATCGTGTAAAATAGTCCATTATGAAATTTAATTTTTCCATTAAACGTTAATTTCGTAATTAATTTACTTAACGATAGTGTGCTCCTCGCCTCTTCTAAATGAATTAAAAACCTGTAATGAAAAAAGTTTATGGTTTAATTCGGTCAACTGTCTAGTAACGATATTTCTCTATCGACGGTCAGAGTATTTCCCGATACGAATTAAAGTCGAGGTAGAGAGCTGTTTCCTTAGAATTAAAGACCCTCTTGTCGAGGAATTCCAGACATTTCCTATTTAAATTGTAAATTTATGGGAATCAATGAAGTTTCTAATTGAAAGAATTGCGTTTTTGCGTTGTGTGGTTATTGACTGTTTCTACAATTTCATAGATCGTTCGTTACTTTTTTGAGCTTACCTACCAGGTTTCGAGTTTCGAGGTATTTAACTAGAGAAAATATTTGGAACACTTTTATACGATCGTATAGTACGTAACATATTTTACACTACATTTTACACTACAAATTTAATAAAATAAAATTATTTTTTTAGTGACTTTGCAATTATTGTTTATACATTATTAGTCGTATTATATACATTTAATGTGTACGGTAAAAGTTTGTTACAATTTTGCTAACCAGCTATTACGAAGGATGTTATACAAGAAAGGGTTAACGAGATCAAAAAGTTGCAGATGAAAATAATGCATTTTCTTAGATGTTATCGATACTAAGTTATTAAAATAAAAAAAGGAAAAAAAAATAAACATCGTAGGATATTTCATTCGAAATTAAATAGTTAGCGAATCGTGATAACGAATTTCTATTTTTATCTGATAACAAAGTACAAGATAACTAACGCGTACATATGTAAGAAATTATGCTCAAAAATGTGAAGCCGAAAGTGAACGAAACCTACCTAATGTTAATTAACGTTAATTAAACAATGGAATTCTGAATTTTCCAGATCAGTCTATTTTCAAGTGCGTTTAGATTCGATTTCAAATAAATTTCATCGAATAGAACAATTCTCGCGAAGACAGTCATTGACGATTAACTTCTGATTACTTTCAATCCCAACAGCAAATCGCTCAAACCTGTTTCCAAGACGCAACTCTCGACCATCAATTTCTCTCAAACTTGAATTCACGATTTTTATTGAAATTTATCGTCGTTCATTGGATCGAATCGATTTCCATGGAAAGAAAGCTTCTTCGTATTTAATTTGTCCATTTCAACTCGCCGAAATGGAAAAATAATCAAGCTCTACGACAACGGAATCTTTTTCTATCATCCATTACTATGCTCCGTTTATTTAAAAAATTCAATTCTCAACGGGAGAAGTAATATCGATGAAGAAATTCCGTCGCGGCCGGTTTCGCGTGAAAATCGCGATTTTCAAAGCATTCCATAGGAGAAAACTCAATCGAAAATGTCGTTGTAGTATCCCAAGGTTCGATATGTGTCATAACTTCCAAAATTACTACTGCGTTCTAGTGTCGTCGAGATAAGGAAACCAAAGAAGTATCGAATTAACATTGTACGTGATGAGTTGCAAGTGGTGTTTCAACGATAAACATGAAAGAAAGATTTAAATGTAAGAGCATGCACGTGTGCTCGAATAGGGTAACTCGATGTATAAGTTTGCGGACTAGTATGTATATTTAATAATTGTTACAAACGAAACCGATTGTTCGTGCAACGGAAGTTCGTTCGTTTGTGATAAATAGATAAGGTTTTAGTGGGTTTTTTAATGGCTGTGCGAATCTTCTGCGAGATATGAGTTCACCTTTTCGACGAAAATTGTATAATATATTTGTGAAAGGTTTGACATCTTCGTTCGTCGATAGTTATATGGGTTTACTTGTTTGGGAATTTATTAAAAATTGCAACATATGTAAATACCCGAGATTTTTAATATATTCTAGATTTACTGGAATTTTTTTACGAGTTCATGGGATTTGTTCGAATTTATTATGTAAAGTGATACATTAATAAAGAGAGGGTATTCCAATATGTGTGGTTTTTCAATCGTTTTTTGAAAACTGAGCGGGTGCGAAAATGTTAGTGAAACTGTTCGGTATATTTTAGAATATAATGATAATTAATTTATAGTATTTCTTAAATGAGTGAGATGTATATTTGTCCATACAAAATAACGTGCGAATATTTTAAGAATTTGTAGACTTTTTAAATTCGGTAATTTTTAAAGGGTTACATAGAAGTGCGTAAATAGAAAATGAAATGAAAATGTTTTCCGAAAAGCAGACTTATTTCTTTTACATTACTTAAACGACACTTGTATCTCCTTGTAATGATGACAAAATTTCTTAACCTCTAATATAAATTGCGGAAATTACGTGGAATAATTTAAAACTGTAAATTGCATTGCCTTAGAATAGTACTGCCGCTGTTATTAATTATTTACCGCCATTATGATTAATTTTATCAGTAATTTGACTGCCTTGTTACAAAAGAAACACAGATAACCATGGATAATACAAAACAAAGTTATTAACTTTCCTCTGGCTTCCGTTCTTCAAATAATTACGCACAATTATCCAAAGTATATTCCAAAAACAACATCATTTCGAAGTATCATAACCCAAAAAGCACATGAAATTGCCACCAGTCCCATTCAGTTGTGAATTAATACGTATTAAAATTACCAAAAGTTTACGCGAATATTATTCCTAAACTACTCACAATTTTCAAGTGATCCTCACTTCGTAAGAAGTCTCGAAACCTCTCCTTTGAAGTGCTTTTTGTTTCATATCGATGCGACTTTTCGTTTTCGAGATATCGTCGTTCGAAGCTGAGCGTAATTTCTAATATTTTATTGCTCTGTCCTTGTCGCACGCTCGGACCTTTCTCTCGCACGCGGCTTCCCTGACCTGGCCCAAGTCCGCGATGCGTGCGCTGGTCATTGACGAACACCTACACGCTCCTTTTACTTACCACCACTACGCGACGCACATGTGCCCGGGGAAAAATGTAGGTCACTCCGCACGGCCGCCGTTGATACTCTTCTTGTGATTTAATGCATTGTATCTCCCGAACCAATTAAAATATCGACTTGCAGCAAAATGCATCGTCAAGAGGACACTCTTTTCTATCCCCTGAGCACATATTCTTGAGAAATTCTATAATTCCTTGAAATATATTTAAGATCTCTTAACCCATTGTAAGACACTTCTTCCCAGTATCACAATGTCTTCCTGTAAAATTTTCAAGTATAAACAGTGTCGTACTTTTTGTACATTTATATTCGTGTTTTCAAATCATAAAACGACAAATGCAGTTTGCAGTTAGTCGATGAATCGATAGACCTACCTGAACCGATTTCTTAGCCACAGAACAACGTTTTACCTTATCAAAGAATCTTCTAAAATTAATGAAAAAATTGTTCATTTTTCACGCAATATCTGGTTGGTTTTAGTTAACACGTATATCTCGGTTCTTAAAAACGGTGGGTGAAATAGTCGACGTGGAATCGATATTAAAAATTCAATTAACTCTGCCTGTAACAGGGAAAGTTTCTCCTAAATCCAAAACACGTCCCAGCGACGTGAAAACAAGTAAAAGCGAAGAAATCTCGTGCAAGCACGTGCGTTTCGTTTCCTTTTGTCCGGTCCTACCTTTCAGCCGCAACAAAAGAGACGCTGGCATCATTTTGTAACTCAAGCCAATATTGACAAGACATTCTCTCGCGGATTCCTCTAGTTTCAGCAAAAAAGAAATTCTGTATTACGATGTTCAAGCATAGCAGACATTCGCGAGCGGGAAACTCGCGGATCCTGCAACATATCGAATTTTACGCTTCGTTGTGTGTTCCCTGTATGAGATGTGCATT